CCCGGTGAATGGGTCAGCGGGATCGTAATTGATTGGCTCGGTGTGTGAGTATCACGGTTGGGAAATCAAAAGGTCAGATTCGTCACGGTTATCTCATGCGTTTCCTTTGTCGCAAATACGCGCGTGCGCAGGATGCTGCAGTACGAACACGGTCGCGACAGCAACAAATGGCTTTACAGTGGATCATATTTCAGGGAATATGCTAAGAAGGACATTTCGCGGCGTGAAAACGCCTATACTTTCGGGCTGGGTATTTTCGATTTCACATATGTACTCGTTCCGATAAATACCGAGTGAGTAGTCGTCGCGTCTAGCCGTAGCACCACATGTATTTCGGTAGTCTAACATCGGCGTTACTGATGTTAGACCTCATGTGTGCCTTAGGAGTCACTGGAGCCTGATCGTGATCGAGCGCATCCCGAGGCCCGACGACCCGATTCCCATGAACTGCGTGCTCTGGCACGCTGACTCGTACGGCACGCATGCCGGTGTCGATGCCCCGTTGCGAAGGTACTCTCTTTTTAAGGGCAGTCTGCTATTGTCACGTACAGAAGTTCGGGGTTACGATAGCATTGAATCTATGTCTCCCGGTGTGTAGGTACTTGCGAAACGAGGTGTTAAGATACTGTGCATGGATCAGTGAGTCAAACGCAGATGCATGGGCGGCGAGCATCCCACTAAGGCAGGTCACGGTGAGTGCTGTTGCCTTGTGTGTACGAACTTTGAAACAATCGCATCTCCCTTTCCGTGCACGCAATTTCCACACCGAAACCCCACTCCCATCCCGGCCCTCACCACGCGCTCACGCACCCTGTGATTGTCCAGATACCCGTGCAGGCAAATGAGAACGACTGTGGTGTGTTCACGACGCGTGTGATGCACACGTTGGTCGAGGATGGTTTCCATAAACTACCGGCGTGTGAGCTTGTAGGGACGCCACTCCATTGGCGCCGTCAGTATTGTCACGATTTGAGGAAGTGGTCTGTGTATTTTCGGGCAAAAACAATGTTGGAGGTTGGAGGTGGGGCAGGCGGCGGTGATAAAGCTGGTAATGGGGCGGGTATCAAGCGAGAATGAGGCGGGAAGCATGGGGGAATGAGGCCCGAAGCAAGGGGGAATGGGGCCTGTAGCAAGGGAGAATGAGGCGGGTAGCAGTGAAGAATGGGGTGGGAAGCAAGGGGAAATGGGGTGGGTAGCAGGGGGGAATGAGGCCGGAAGCGAGGGGACATGAGGCGGGAAGCAGAGGGAATGAGGGGGGTCGCAAGGGAGAATGAGGCGGGAAGCAAGGGGGACGCGGCTCTGAAGCAAGGGGGAATGAGGGAGGTAGCAAGGGAGTATGAGGCCCGAAGCAAGGGGGAATGAGGGAGGTAGCAAGTGAGTATGAGGCCCGAAGCAAGGGGGAATGAGGCCTGAAGCAAGGGGGAATGAGGGAGGTAGCAAGTGAGTATGAGGCCCGAAGCAAGGGGGAATGAGGCCTGAAGCAAGGGGGAATGGGGAGGGTAGCAAAGGAGAATGAGGAGGGTAGCAGTGAAGAATGGGGTGGGAAGCAAGGGGGAATGGGGTGGCTAGCAAGGGGGGATGAGGCCGGAAGCGAGGGGACATGAGGCGGGAAGCAAAGGGGAATGAGGGGGGTAGCAAGGGAGAATGAGGCGGGAAGCAAGGGGAATTGGGGCCTGAAGCAAGGGGGAATGAGGGGGGTAGCAAGGGAGTATGAGGCCCGAAGCAAGGGGGAATGAGGCCTGAAGCAAGGGAGAATGAGGCCTGAAGCAAGGGGGAATGGGGAGGGTATCAAGGGAGAATGAGGAGGGTAGCAGTGAAGAATGGGGTGGGAAGCAAGGGGGAATGGGGTGGGTGGCAGGGGGGAATGAGGCCAAAAGCGAGGGGACTAGAGGTGGGAAGCAGAGGGAATGAGGGGGGTAGCAAGGGAGAATGAGGCGGGAAGCAAGGGGGACGAGGAGCTGAAGCAAGGGGGAATGAGGGAGGTAGCAAGTGAGTATGAGGCCCGAAGCAAGGGGGAATGAGGCCTGAAGCAAGGGGGAATGGGGAGGGTATCAAGGGAGAATGAGGAGTGTAGAAGTGAAGAATGGGGTGGGAAGCAAGGGGGAATGGGGTGGCTAGCAAGGGGGGATGAGGCCGGAAGCGAGGGGACATGAGGCGGGAAGCAGAGGGAATGAGGGGGGTAGCAAGGGAGAATGAGGCGGGAAGCAAGGGGGACGCGGCTCTGAAGCAAGGGGGAATGAGGGAGGTAGCAAGTGAGTATGAGGCCCGAAGCAAGGGGGAATGAGGCCTGAAGCAAGGGGAAATGGGGAGGGTATCAAGGGAGAATGAGGAGGGTCACAGTGAAGAATGGGGTGGGAAGCAAGGGGGAATGGGGTGGGTAGCAAGGGGGGATGAGGCCGGAAGCGAGGGGACATGAGGCGGGAAGCAGAGGTAATGAGGCGGGAAGCAGGAGGGAGTGAGGCGGGTACATGGGAGGAATAAGTGTGTGAGTGAAGAACAAGGAAGCGGGTAGCATGGGGGAATGAGGACAAGATCAATACGGAATTGTTTGTTCATCCGTCCTGCCAGCTTGATATGCCAACAAACATGACACAAAGCGCAATGGAGAGGCCTTGAATCAGTCCTGCATGACTTGACAACAAGTGTGGCCAAATGAGAGTGTTGGCCACAACCAGTCCTCCATGTCTAGAGAACACTATCCGTAGGGAAGTGTTTGTCACTGGCGTTCCTGCTTGACATGTATACAAACAATACACAATGGGTCGGTGTGATGCTGCAAAACATACCTGCATGTCGCCACAACTCTAGTGGGTAGAACAGCAGGGGTTTCTCAACTCCGTTCCAGCATGAACCTAGAACATACAACACAGCATGGTCTTGGGTCCCTGCATAAAGGTTGCCCTGTATGGCATGAGAGCAGCCATGCCCCATACGGGGAGTTTGTGTCTGGCTCTATTACCGTATTATTGCACCTCAATTGGCATGAGAGGAGACATGCCCATACGCGTTGCATAACGACCAGGCAGCAATCAAATAATGCGTACTTACTAATCAATCGATGTATCAGAATGACTGCTCCACCGCAGACCGTTATGTACATGTTCTGTGAAGGTGGTGTTTGGTTTTACACTGTTATGTTGCATACTTGTCACTATGCTAATGGGTTAGGGGGACTCCTGTTACGAGTGCAATTGAGTGAGCGAACGAGGATTGCACTATCGGGAAAAAAGTACAACTGAGCGAAGGTATGAGTGAAAGGTTATATAGCGAAACCACAGTGGTAACGGTAATGGACTGTGGTTGTCGCGCGACGGGCATGGCACTGAGGTTGGGAAAATGTCGAGGCGAAGGTCCGGAGCGCGGGTTACCGCCGAGCCGTGAGGTCGGGGTGCGACGTGCGAAAGTGGGGGGCGGATTGTCGATGCGAGTGGTAACGGTGCTGACTGAGGTGCTACAGTGATGGACGCGTTGAGCAGGGATGCGAAGTAAGGAAAACGAGATTTTCCTTACAACTCCATAACCCCCTAATTCTATTTTTATCATTTACGTACACCACACTATTGAGCCTTTGCAAACTAATGTGCCATTACGTGCCCCGCCCTGCGCCATTCCACTCGACTCCACGCTATGCCACGTACGCGAATCTCCCTGATTTGCGAACCAGTCGCAACCACACACAAGGAACTTTTGAGTTTGCGTTTTTATCGCACGCGTGCCGCAACGGCTTCGTGTCGACCTGTCGCATCGCTGTACGACTTGCTGCGATCGAGCGTCGCCGTTTCTCCGCAGACCCTATGTGACTCTTGACGTGCAGCTTGTGTAGGTTTGTGTGGCACGCGAGGCACTTCATTGTAAACAGTACGACAACCCGGGCAGAATAATTATGACCCTCGCAAACCTAGATACAGTAGCGCATTTGACTGTCGGGTTTAACAAAAAGAAGCCCACACTGCCGCTTGTGGACTGATACTCAATTAAGCACGTTAGGTCCCACGGAATCTTAACACGGCAGTGCTGCATTTTTTTCCTTAATACACCTCAACCACCAGGCGATTGGTTGAGGGCGGAAAAGGGGGACCTGGCAGTCGCAACGTGCACCATAGCTGGAAACACTCAAACCCTCATCACCTCCGTGCTCCCCTTGCATGCCTCCAGCTGTGACGATCGTCTGCTCTAGGCCCCAGACTTTGCCTCGTCCCTCTCCCTCCTCAACCATTTTTTTATGCTCGTAGACTGCTGTCAGGTTCTAGGCGGTAGCACAACCCGCAACCTCATAGTACTACGTGAATGGAAAGCTAGACATGGTAACAAGGAAGTCAGACAATGAAGGGGCCCGAGGGGGCGATCGTACTGGCTGAATCGACAAAAACCCCCGACGAAACAAAGTTTGCGGAGTTAGTAACAGCAGATAAGACGGCCGAGCTCGTAATCGAGTATCGCAAAAATAATGCATCGACGGCGCGAGATGTTTTTGATTCCAGACGTGTCTCGTCATCCGGTGACGAATCGAATAGCGACTGCGATGTGGAGCCATACGCAAACAAAGGCATATCATCCGCTTCGAAACCAAGGGATAAGCGCGTGAAGCGCTTAGATGATCTCGTTCCCAAAGGCGGCCAGAAAGGTATGTGTTTATGGTCGCAGATGCGGAATATTCTACTTGTATGCATGAATTGATGCTTGTAGTTGTGTCTGACCTGTTAGAGGTTATCGTCTCTCCAATTGTGTTTCCACATCAGCGATAGCGGACAAGCGTGACAACCGGGGGGGGCGTAAGCACCGTCCAAGAAAAAGAGGCACTCGTTCACATCGTGAGGAAACGCCTGCGTCTGAAGGCGACGAGGAGGGCAAAGACGGGGGACCTGACAGCTTAGGTATGCTGTGGGTGTGATATCGACGGTTTATATTTTGCACGTTACTCATAACAATGACGCCGCATGTCATGCTGCAACTTCCTGCCAATAAGATAATGTGTGCACAGTATTTCTTATGTACCTGTCATGTCCGCCTTCGCAGATGGGACGGCAGGCCAACGCGCTCATAGTGGCGGAAAGCGCAAGGGCGGCAGGGCTGTTGCGGCCAAGGGCGGTCCCTCGGGCAGGCAGTCGCAGGATGCGGATGGAGGCGACGAGGGGGATCATGCCGAGCCGGAAGCTCGTGGTGGCGGAAAGCGCACCGGCGGCAGGGCTGCCGCGACCAAGGGCGGTCCCTCGGGCTCGCATGATGCGGATGGTGGCGACGAGAAGGATCATGCCGAGCCGGAAGCTCGTGGTGGCGGCATACGCAACGGCGGCAGGGCTGCCGCGGCTAAGGGCGGTCCCACGGGCAGGCAGTCGGAGGATGCAGATGGTGGCGACGAGGGGGATCATGCCAAGCCGGAAGCTCGTGGTGGCGGCATGCGCAACGGCGGTAGGGCTGCCGCGGCCAAGGCCGGTCCCTCGGGCTCACAGGATGCGGATGGTGGCGAGGAGAAGGATCATGCCGAGCCGGAAGCTCGTGGTGGCGGCATGCGCAACGGCGGCAGGGCTGCCGCGGCTAAGGGCGGTCCCACGGGCAGGCAGTCGGAGGATGCAGATGGTGGCGACGAGGGGGATCATGCCAAGCCGGAAGCTCGTGGTGGCGGCATGCGCAACGGCGGTAGGGCTGCCGCGGCCAAGGCCGGTCCCTCAGGCTCACAGGATGCGGATGGTGGCGACGAGAAGGATCATGCCGAGCCGGAAGCTCGTGGTGGCGGCATGCGCAACGGCGGCAGGGCTGCCGCGGCTAAGGGCGGTCCCTCGGGCAGGCAGTCGCAGGATGCGGATGGTGGCGACGAGAAGGATCATGCCGTGCCTGCATGCCGTGGCGTTAACGATCATGATGAGGACGAGCCAGCAGCTGTGACTGATGGGAAAGGTGGACGTGAAGCTGTGATTCCCTACCAACGGCGCAAGGCTGTGGATCCAGGCAGTTGCGACCATAAGGCGAGACAAGCTCGGCACGGCCCCAATGTGCACGTCTCGAGCTCGTCTGGTTCCGAGGAAGATTCGAGTGACAGTGAGTCGGGCAGCTCATCTGGGAGTGAGGAGGTATACGAGGACGAGGTTGAGGAGGAGGAGGACGAGGATGATGAGGAGTTGGAGCCGGAGAGCGAGGATGGGGAGGAGGCTCGGCCTTTGAAGAGGAGGAGTGTGCGGAAGCTCAAGAAGGGCAACGCTAAGCAAAAATCGGAGAGGGGACGGGTGAAGATCTGTAAACAAAGTGTGCGTCGTGCCAAACCACATGGCAAGCGCCAGAGACCTCGATTCGAAGCTAAAATAGTGGGTGTGCGTAGCAAGGCGAAGCGGGAGTTGAATTTTTACGAATCAATGGGGATACGATGTCCATCAAGCTCTCATGAACGGCAAGCCGCGGACCCGTACGCTGCGTTACGCGATCTGATGGGTTCGGCTGGGAAGGGAGATCAGATGGCTTGGGGGTCAGCGCGGTTTGGCAAAGAAGCGACGGACCCGCCCCCCAACCATATGGGGGGTCGCGCGGTTCATGTGAAGAATGAGGGGGCAACGAAGCGGCACGAACCCTCGGTAGCTGCAGCAGCGAATGGCGGTGTGGGAGGAGGTGTGTGGGCGAATGCCTTGGGCGAATGTGGCGGCGGTGTGGAAGGCTCCATGTGGGATGTACAGGAGAGCAGGGGAGAAGGGGGGGACAAAAAAATGGATCCAGCGACTAAGGAGGGGAGGGGAGAGAGTATGGGCACACCTGGCGCATCCAGTCGGCCGGATGTGGCTGGCGGCAGGACTGTGGAGCAGCTCATGCGAGAGCTTGCCCAGCGGGATCGCGAAATCGCTGCACTCAAGGCAAGGCCAGGATCAAAAGGAGCTGTCAAGCCCTGCACCCCTCCATCTAGGCCTCCTCCTCTAGCATCTCTGTCGAGCGGCCCATCTATAGGGGGCCTCGATCCAGACGTGGCGCCAGAAAGCCCAGCGACGGTAGACGTACCGGTCCGTCGAACGCGTGGGATGCCCACACCCAAGCTGCTGAAGGTGAGATTGTTTTAGTGTTAAACAATGTGTGGCATGGGGCTTTGTGATAGCTGCAGCTCTCTCTCTCTCAACCCCTCTTGCTGCTGATAAGCGTGTTTGTGGCATTATGCGCAGTGATAGCGGCAAGTCTGCAGTGGGATAGGCATTCCCAGTACGCCTCGCTTCAGGGACGTGGCGCTGGGCGTACGATGCTCTCACATTCTGCCCGCGACCCAGAGCTCACCATAGCAGTTATCCATCCTCATTGGCCCCTCTCTCCCATCCCTTCCCACCCTAAACCAGAGCCCCTGTTCATGGTGCTGGTGCTGGTGTGGGTGGCACGCGGCGCAAGGATAGCTCATTGTAGCAGTTATCCTTCCTATCCCTCCCCCCTCTCTCCCATCCCTCGCCTAGCTCTTCCAGAGCCCCTGTTCCTGGTGCTGGTGGTGGTGTGAGTGTCATGCGGCGGATGGATAGCTAAGAATAGCAGTTATCCTTCATCTCACTTCCCTCTCTCTCCCGTCCCTCCCCTCCCTTTGTGAGAGCCCCTGTTCCTGGTGCTGGTGGTGGTATGGGTGTCATGCGGCGGAGGGAATAGAGGAAGCCGTATCCGTCAACCCCATGCGGCCCCCTTTCTGTCTGCCGCTCCTCCCTCCCCTCTCTATCCCGTCCCTCTCCCTCCTCGTCCAGAGCCACTGTAAAAGGTGCTGCTGGTCACGCGTGTGGCATGCGGCGTAGCGTGCAGGGGGGTGGCTGCAGTGGAAGTTGAGACTCCTCGTACGAGGAGAACATGAACCCTCGCGCTGGGCGTACGTTGCCCTCTCACTCTGCCTACTCTCCCGTCTTTCGCTCTGACTATTTAATCCCCTCTCTCTCCACTCTCACTCGTGCATCGCTCCCCTACCTCAACCAGAGCTCCTGTTCATGGTGCTGGTGGTGGGGTGGGTGTCATGCGGCGGAGTGATCATAAATCGCAGCAGTTATCCTTCCCATCCCTCCCCCCTCTCTCCCATCCCTCCCCTCCCTCTACGAGAGCCCCTGTTCATGGTGCTGGGGGTGGCGTGGGTGTCATGCGGCGGAGGGAATAGAGGAAGCCGTATCCGTCAATCCCACGCGGCCCCCTTTCTGTCCGCCGCTCCTCCCTCCCCTCTCTATCCCGTCCCTCTCCCTCCTCGTCCAGAGCCAGTGTAAAAGGTGCTGCTGGTCACGCGTGTGGCATGCGGCGTAGCGTGCAGGGGGGTGGCTGCAGTGGAAGTTGAGACTCCTCGTACGAGGAGAACATGAACCCTCGCGCTGGGCGTATGTTGCCCTCTCACTCTGCCTACTCTCCCGTCTTTCGCACTGACAATTTTATCCCCCCTCTCTCCCCTCTCACTCTACCATCGCTCCCCTACCTCAACCAGAGCTCCTGTTCATGGTGCTGGTGGTGGGGTGGGTGTCATGCGGCGGAGTGATCATAAATCGCAGCAGTTATCCTTCCCATCCCTCCCCCCTCTCTCCCATCCCTCCCCTCCCTCTACGAGAGCCCATGTTCATGGTGCTGGGGGTGGTGTGGGTGTCATGCGGCGGAGGGATAGCTAAGCATAGCAGTCATCCTTTATCTCACTCCCCACTCTCTCCCATCCCTCCCCTCCCTCTGCGAGAGCCCATGTTCATGGTGCTGGGGGTGGTGTGGGTGTCATGCGGCGGAGGGATAGCTAAGCATAGCAGTCATCCTTTATCTCACTCCCCACTGTCTCCCATCCCTCCCCTCCCTCTGCGAGAGCCCATGTTCATGGTGCTGGGGGTGGTGTGGGTGTCATGCGGCGGAGGGATAGCTAAGCATAGCAGTCATCCTTCATCTCACTCCCCTCTCTCTCCCATCCCTCCCCTCCCTCTGCGAGAGCCCCTGTTCATGGTGCTGGGGGTGGCGTGGGTGTCATGCGGCGGAGGGAATAGAGGAAGCCGTATCCGTCAATCCCACGCGGCCCCCTTTCTGTCCGCCGCTCCTCCCTCCCCTCTCTATCCCGTCCCTCTCCCTCCTCGTCCAGAGCCAGTGTAAAAGGTGCTGCTGGTCACGCGTGTGGCATGCGGCGTAGCGTGCAGGGGGGTGGCTGCAGTGGAAGTTGAGACTCCTCGTACGAGGAGAACATGAACCCTTGCGCTGGGCGTACGGTGCCCTCTCACTCTGCCTACTCTCCCGTCTTTCGCTCTGACTATTTTATCCCCCCTCTCTCCCCTCTCACTCTACCATCGCTCCCCTACCTCAACTAGAGCTCCTGTTCATGGTGCTGGTGGTGGGGTGGGTGTCATGCGGCGGAGTGATCGCTCACCATAGCAGCTATCCTTCCTCTCCCTGCACCCTCTCTCCCATCCCTCCACCACCTCTTCCAGAGCCCATGTTCATGGTGCTGTTGTTGGTATGTGAGCCATGCGGCGCAGTGATGGCAACAGCCCTCTCTCTCAACCTCTGAATTCCGCCCTTCATTTGGAGGCATCACTCAAATTTACGTTTCCAATCCACCCGTCCGTCATAGGTTCATTTCGCCGTGGGGCGGGACCGGATGTGCCTAGAATGGCCAGACGATGCCATAGACTTCTACCCAACGCTTGAAGAGCGCCTTCAGGTTTTGTATCAGGTTATCAGCGAGACGCACATAATTAAGCTGATGCAGCTGCGAGAGGCTATGGAAGACAAAAACATCGTCGACGGCTTCAAACGCGCTTGGACGTCATGGAAGAACGATCGTGGCTTCCACCTCAAGCGCAGAGTGCTTGTAACTTTCGGCAAGAATGTGCAAGGCCTGCGTGCAGCCGATCTCTGGATGGGCACCAAGAAGAAGAAGAAGAAGATGTGGAGAAAATACCAACCGAGTGAGTACGCGCGTTTCTGTTTTACTTCACCATTCATTTCATCTGCTCGTGCACCCCTCGTGACGGTGATGAACAACTTACCCTAATGCATCCCCACTGTGGCACGCAACTACATACCCGCTCTCCTTGCCTAGCCTTGTAGCGCATGTGCAGTCACATCCGCATGACAGCTTAACGTTGGTTCTTCTCCCACTGTCCCCTTCTCCCGCCCCCCCTTTAATCTACACCTCTCCCCTCCCCTCCTGCCATCCCGTTCTCTCCCTCCCTCCATTTCTCTTCAGCCATCCCCTTCTATCCCGCCCTCCATGTCTCTCCTGCCCTCCCCCTCTCCCCTGCCCTCCCCTTCTCTCCTGCCCTCCCCTTCTCTCCCGCCCTTCCCTGCTCTACTGCCCTCCAGCCAACCCTCCATTCATTCTATACCGCCCTCCACTTCATCCATACCCTTTGGACAACCCCTAAACCATGTCGTGCATGATCTTCGTCCCCGCCTTGCCCTGCGTGCGCGCAGGAGGGAATCAGCCGGTCAGCTCGTGGGGAAACAGCAGAGACGGGCTCCCGTTTGCCAACGGCCAGTTTGTAGATGCGGTCCGGGAAGCATTTCGGAATCTCTGTGTCGGGCGCCGGGTGTGCGTCAAAGCCTACCACATTGCCTGGTCAATCATGGTGGTAAGGCATTATTGCTCTCCCGTCAGTTCGCTCTAGCTTTGCTTGCAATTCTTGCCCGCCAGACTGGAATGTGGGGCTATTTGCGCAGCCCGTGAACACTACACGCGAGTGTCCACATATGTCTCTATTTCCCCTCTTTCCCATACTTTGCTACGCTTTTTCAGATTGACCAGGGCTTGGCAAAGGTTAAAAAGACCGACTGGAACGTCTCGAACTCCCACCGCAAGAACACCGAGTGGATGACGGGTTTGCACCGAAATGTGCGGTGGATCATCAAGGACCACTTCACACGCCACACCCCCGTGTACAACACAGTCGTGCAGGGCTTCAAGTGGGGCAACCGTGGCCTGTATGTTCACGAGTCAGGATTTGAGGCGTTCAAGGGGAAGGCCGTGCCTGACGAGGAGAAGAAGGACTTGAAGGAGGAAGAGCAGGAGGTGTACGACGCGGAGGACTTGAAGACGGATGACGAGGAGGATGACGAGGATCAGGAGGAGGAGGAGGAGGAGGAGGAGGAGGAGGAGGAGGAGGAGGAGGAGGAGGAGGAGGAGGAGGAGGAGGATGAGGAGGAGGAGGAACAGTGGGGGCAGGAGCGGAGGAAGAGCAAAAGGCACAAGAGATGCAAAAGCAGGGGAGGCAAGAGGGATGAGCAAGAGGATGAGGATGAGGAAGAGGAGGAGGAGGATGTGGAACGGGGGGGGCGGGAGCTTAGGAAGGGCAGAAGGCAGAAGAGAGGGAAAATCAGAGGAAGCAGGGGGGAAGAGGAAGAGGATGAGGAGGGGGAGGAGGGGGAGCAGGCGGATGAAAATCATAGGGGGCAGGAGAGGAGGAAGGGCAGAAAGCACAAAAGAGGCGGAGGCAAGGGAAGCAGGAGGGAAGAGGAAGAGGAGGAAGAAGTGGAAGAGGAGGAAGAGGATGAGGATGAGAAGGGGGGGGGCCAGGAGCGAAGGAGGGGCAAAAGACACAAGAGTGGCAAACACCGGGGAGGCAAGAGGGTCAAGCGATGGGGCGACTAAACAAGGGGGGCAGCAGATGAGGCATGAGTGGAGTTTACAAGGGGGGGCAGCAAGATAGGCATCACACACTTGCGAGGAGACATCAAAACGGAGGTAGAGGCATTGGTGGAGACAGCAAGGGGAGCAGCACGCCAGGCAAGAAAGTAGAGTCAGCATGGGGGGTAGCACGGGCGGCAAAAGCGTGGAGTCAGCAAGGGGGGCAGCAGTAGAGACAATGTGAAGAGTGTCCAAGGGTGGGCAACCAGCAAGGCAACCAGATAGTGCAAGAGGGTGCAGCAGAAAAGGCATGAGTTGAGAGAGTTAGGGGGGCAGCAGAAAAGGCACGAGCAGATAGAGGGGAGTGCACAAGGGGGGCAGCAGGTTAGGCATGACTGGAGCAAGCAGCAGTAAAGGCAAGACTGGGGAGCGCCAGGGGCGGAGCAGCAGACGCATGAGAGGGCAGAGCATGCAATGAAGCAGTGGACGCAGGGGCACGCTCAACCTAGAGCACCAGAGATGGGGTTCAGTGGAAGACATAGTGTACTGGAGCATGCTAAGCAGGTCGTAGGATGCAGCTCAACCTAACTGACTAGGCACAGAGGGTTTAGGATGCTGTTTTATGTGCGTTTTTAGGGTGGAATTATCAGCTTTTACCAAAGCTTCTGTACTGTTCATTTTGAATGCAAGATTGAGGCAACTTAACATAGTTTTAAAATACATCTAAGGTCGTGCAAGTCTCCTACATAAGCTTATTTTAATGAACCCGAAATCCCATAAAGAGAACATTGCAATGAGATCCGATCTTCGAAATTGCTCTGCAAAAACTTGTACCAAACTTCTTCCGAAGGTGTTCACCTGGCAGGTTTGAACAGAAAAGCATTGGAGAAGCATTTGAAAAGCGTTCGAGAAAGCATTTGGAAAGCAACCTATACTTTCTCAAAAAAGGGTTCGAAAAACGTCGTTCATGAATCATTCGACAAAACTCCAAAGCAACTTTCTTCATCGGTTTTCCGGATGCAGGATTTTTGTGATGTGCGTTCCTGGGAGTAAAAAAGGTGCATTCCTGGGACTCAAAAGGTGCGTTCTTGGGGGTCAAAAGGTGTGTTCTTGGGAGTCAAAAGGTGCGTTCCTGGGAGTCAAAAGGTGCGTTCGTGGGAGTCAAAAGGTGCGTTTTTGGGAGTCAAAAGGTGCGTTCCTGGGAGTCAAAAAATGCGTTCTTGGGAGTAAAAACATGCGTTCCTGGAAGTCAAAAGGTGTGTTCCTGGGAGTTGAAAGGTGCGTTCTTGGGAGTCAAAAGGTGCGTTTTTTAGAGTCAAAAGGTGCGTTTTTGGGAGTCAGAAGGTGCGTTTTTGGGAGTCAAAAGGTGCGTTCCTGGGAGTAAAAAAATGCGTTCCTGTAGGTCAAAAGGTGTGTTCCTGGGAGTCAAATGGTGCGTTCCTAGGAGTCGAAAGGTGCGTTCCTCGGAGTTAAAAGGTGCGTTCCTAGGAGTCAAAAGGTGCGTTCCTGGGACTCAAATGGTGCGTTCCTGGGAGTCAAACGGTAAGTTCTTGGGAGTCAAAAGGTGCGTTCTTGGGAGTAAAAGTTGCGTTCTTGGGAGTCAAAAGGTGTGTTCTTGGGAGTCAAAAGGTGCGTTCTTGGGAGTCAAAAGGTGTGTTCCTCGGAGTCAAAAAATGCGTTCCTAAAAATTCAAAAGGTGTGTTCCTGGGAGTCAAAAGGTGCGTTCCAGGGACTCAAAAGATGCGTTTTTGGGAGTCAAAAGGTGCGTTCCTCGAAGTAAAGATTGCGTTCCTGGGAGTAACAAAATGCGTTCCTATAAGTCAATAGTTGTGTTTCTGGGAGTCAAAAGGTGCGTTCGTGGGAGTCAAAAGGTTCATTCCTTGGGATCAAAAGGTGCGTTTATGGGAGTAAAAAGGTGCGGTCCTGGGAGTAAAAATGTGCATTCCTGGGAGTCAAAAGGTGCGTTCTTGGGAGTCAAAAGGTGCGTTCTTGGGAGTCAAAAGGTGCATTTTTGGGAGTCAAAATGTGCATTCTTGGGAGTCAAAAGGTGTGTTCCTAGGAGTAAAAAAATGCGTTCGTGGGAGTCAAAAGATGCGTTCTTGGGAGTCAAAAGGTGCGTTCTTGGGAGTCAAAAGGTGCATTTTTGGGAGTCAAAAGGTGCATTCTTGGGAGTCAAAAGGTGCGTTCCTAGGAGTAAAAAAATGCGTTCCTGGGAGTAAGAAAATGCGTTCCTGGAAGTCAAAAGGTGCATTCCTGGGAGTCACAAGGTGCGTTCCTAGGAATCAAAAGGTGTGTTCCTGGGACTCAAAAGGTGCCTTCCAGGGAGGTAAAAGATTCGTTAATAGGTGTCGAAAGGTGCATTCGTAGGAGTCAAAAGGTGTGTTCTCGGGAGTCAAAAGGTGCGTTCTTGGGAGTCAAAAGGTCCGTTCCTCTGAGTAGAACAATACGTTCCTGGGAGTCAAAAGGTGCGTTCCCGAGAGTCAAAAGTTGCGTTCCTGGGAGTCAAAAGGTGCGTTCCTGGGAGTCAAAAGGTGCTTTCCTGGGAGTCAGAAGGTGCATTCCTAGGAAACAAAAGTTGCGTTCTTGGGAGTCAAAAGGTGCGTTCCTTGGAGTCAAAAGGTGCGTTCCTAGGAGTCAAAAGGTGCGTTCCTGGGAGTCAAAAGGTGCGTTCGTGGGAGTCAAAAGGTGCGTTCCTAGGAGTAAAAAAATGCGTTCCTGGGAGTAAAAAAATGCGTTCCTGGAAGTCAAAAGGTGCATTCCTGAGAGTCACAAGGTGCGTTCTTGGGAGTCAAAAGGTGTGTTCCTGGGACTCTAAAGGTGCCTTCCAAAGAGGTAAAAGACTCGTTCCTGGGAGTCAAAAGGTGCGTTCGTAGGAGTAAAAAGGTCTGTCTCGAGAGTCCAAAGGTGGGTTCTTGGGAGTCAAAAGGTCCGTTCCTCAGAGTACAACAATGCGTTCCTGGGAGTATAAAAATGCGTTCCTGGAAGTCAGAAGGTGTGTTCCCGGGAGTCAAAAGGTGCGTTCCTGGGAGTCAAAAGATGCGTTCCTAGAGTCAAAACGTGCGTTCCTGGGAATAAAAAGGTGCGTTCCTGGGAGTCAAAAGGTGCGTTCCTTAGAGTCAAAAGGTGCGTTCCTAGGAGTCAGAAGGTGCGTTCCTGGGAGTCAAAAGGTGTTTTCAAGGGAGTCAGAAAGTGCATTCCTAGGAAACAAAAGTTGCGTTCTTGGGAGTCAAAAGGTGCGTTCCTGGGAGTCAAAAGGTGCGTTCCTAGGAGTCAAAAGGTGCGTTCCTGGGAGTCAAAAGTTGTGTTCCTAGGAGTCAGAAGGTGCGTTCATGGGAATCAAAATGTCCGTTCCTACGACTCAAAAGGTGCGTTCCTAGGAGTCAAAATGTGCCTTCTTGGGAGTCAAAAGGTGCGTTTTGGGAATCAAAAGGTGTTTTTTTGGGAGTCAAAAGGTGCGTTCTTGGGAGTCAAAAGGTGCATTCCTGGGAGTCAAAAAATGCGTTCCTGGGAGTGAAAAAATGCGTTCCTGGAAGTCAAAAGGTGCATTCCCAAGAGTCAAAAGGTGTGTTCCTGGGACTCAAATGGTTCGTCCTGGGAGTCAAAAGGTGCGTTCTTGGGAGTTAAATGGTGCGTTACTGGGAGTCAAAAGGTGCGTTCCTGAAAGTCAAAAGGTGCGTTCCTGGGAGTCAAAAGGTGCGTTCTTGGAAGTCAAAAGGTGCCTTCCTAGGAGTCAAAAGGTGCGTTCCTCGGAGTCAAGAGGTGCGTTCCTAAGAGTCAAAAGGTGCGTTTCTGAAAGTCAAAAGGTGCGTTACTGGGAGTCAAAAGGTGCGTTCTTGAAAGTCAAAAGGTGCGTTCTTGAGAGTCAAAAGGTGCGTTCCTGGGAGTCAAAAGGTGCGTTCTTGGGAGTCAAAAGGTGCGTTGTGGGAGTCAAAATATTCATTCATGGGATTAAAAAAATACGTTCCTAGAAGTCAAAAGGTGTGTTCTTGGGAGTCAAAAGGTGTTTTTTTGGGAGTCAAAAGGTGCATTCCTGGGAGTCAAAAAATGCGTACCTGTGAGTAAAAAAATGCGTTCCTGGAAGGCAAAAGGTGCATACCTGAGAGTAAAAGGTGTGTTCCTAAGACTCAAAATGTGCCTTCCAGGGAGTCAAAAGATTCGTTCTTGGGAGTCAAAAGGTGCGTTCCTAGGGGTCAAATGGTGTGTTCTTGGGAGTCAAAAGGTGCATTCGTGGGAGTCAAAAGGTTCATTTGTGGGAGTCAAAAGGTGCGTTTATGGGAGTAAAAAGGTGCGGTCCTGGGAGTAAAAATGTGCGTTCCTGGGAGTCAAAAGGTGCGTTATTGGGAGTCAAAAGGTGCGTTCTTGGGAGTCAAAATGTGCATTTTTGGGAGTCAAAATGTACATTCTTGGGAGTCAAAAGGTGTGTTCCTAGGAGTAAAAAAATGCGTTCGTGGGAGTCAAAAGGTGCGTTCTTGGGAGTCAAAAGGTGCGTTCTTGGGAGTCAAAAGGTGCATTTTTGGGAGTCAAAAGGTGCATTCTTGGGAGTCAAAAGGTGCGTTCCTAGGAGTAAAAAAAAGCGTTCTTGGGAGTAAAAAAATGCGTTCCTGGAAGTTAAAAGGTGCATTCCTGGGAGTCAAAAGGTGCGTTCCTAGGAATCAAAAGGTGTGTTCCTGGGACTCAAAAGGTGCCTTCCAAGGAGGTAAAAGATTCGTTCATAGGTGTCAAAAGGTGCATTCGTAGGAGTCAAAAGGTGTGTTCTCGGGAGTCAAAAGGTGCGTTCTTGGGAGTCAAAAGGTCCGTTCCTCTGAGTAGAACAATACGTTCCTGGGAGTCAAAAGGTGCGTTCCCGAGAGTCAAAAGTTGCATTCCTGGGAGTCAAAAGGTGCGTTCCTGGGAGTCAAAAGGTGTTTTCCTGGGAGTCAGAAGGTGCATTCCTAGGAAACAAAAGTTGCGTTCTTGGGAGTCAAAAGGTGCGTTCCTTGGAGTCAAAAGGTGCGTTCCTGGGAGTCAAAAGGTGCGTTCCTGGGAGTCAAAAGGTGCGTTCGTGGGAGTCAAAAGGTGCGTTCCTAGGAGTAAAAAAATGCGTTCCTGGGAGTAAAAAAATGCGTTCCTGGAAGTCAAAAGGTGCATTCCTGAGAGTCACAAGGTGCGTTCCTGGGAGTCAAAAGGTGTGTTCCTGGGACTCAAAAGGTGCCTTCCAGAGAGGTAAAAGACTCGTTCCTGGGAGTCAAAAGGT